AACCACTCCTTTCAACTTTATCCTTTTCCCCCCGTATCCCCTTTTCCACCGTTATGACCACAGCCACCAAACTCAAATATGATATTAAGATTAGGGGTATTTGCCAGAACCTTGTACCCCTAAAAATGTCACAGTGGTAAAAATAATGGAATACTACTTAGTTTCAGCTTCAGTGCTATAAATTCATAGAGGTAATTGGTGTTATTTTCATAATCATGTACTGCACAACATGAATACTGTATTGAGTAAGAAATTTAGATGTTTGATGGTTACTTTGGAATTCTGACTTGCCTAACCATGATGATAGGAAATCTCTACTAGTGATATAATTTGAACAACACCATCTCTTTAAGTTGGTATCCCTTCTACTTTTTACGAACAAGTCTTTAAAAAAAGAACAAGAAAATTCTCATCCGATTTTGGGATATTGAATGTAACATGTCATCATAGTTATGAGAGTCAGATAGCCTGACCAAAACAGTTCTTTTTTCCAACTTTTCTTTTGAAGCACCACCGTTGTGTTATCAATTTTTACGTCTGTAATATTATGATGTACTCTTAAATATTACGATTACGAGGACAGTGCTTTCTTGAGAATGATATTAAATTAAATTAGAGTCAATGTCTTCAGCACATAAAGTAACTATAATCACATTTTTTGTCCTGTGGGTTTGTCCTGTGGGTCAAAAGAGAATATAAATTTGGACAATCTGAGGAAGTTATCTATTATAAAAAAAACTATAAGGTTTTCGGAGGTCTGTCAAAGCTACAGAAGTTACTACAACACAGAAAGTATGGAAATTTACACAAGTTGTCCATAATAGCACCATAGTGCCTTTTAATACTTTGGTAGTCCAACAATTAATGTATTAAAAAAAACAGTTTTTTGATCGTACCGGCTGTAAACAGTGGAGGAAATGGTACAGATGGAACAGCCGCGAGCCCAATATCTCGCAAAGTCTCGAAGTCGTTCGTAAGATTGACAAAAAATGCGTGTGTACAGCAAAAGAAACACAGTTATGCAATTATTATTAATTTATAAACTTAAACAAACGGTATTAATACTAAATATTAAAACCAGTTGTGTGTTTTAACGTTAAACGAGATAAAAATAGATCTAGCGGCTGTGTTTTCACGTGTGAAGAGTAAAAAGGAGCAGCGGATATTCCGAATTCTATTTTCGTTTTGAACCAAAACAGGACCAGAGCCGAGCGAAGTTTGAACCAAAACGTGACTATAGTTCGGACAACAACAAATGGACAACTTTTAGACCTCATTACACAGAAACTTAGAGGCAAATTGTCCTGATTTTTTGCATGTGCCCCTGAATTCCTAAAAACTTAAACAATCTCAATTTTCGTGCACATTCGACAAATATAAAGATTTTTTTTCTATATAATCATTAGTATTTAATTACAAGTACGTAGTTACGTGTTAGATTTTTCTGTTTGTTTAAATCTTTTTTTTAAAACCTGGCTGCATGAGCCGCAAGACTAAGTTGTTTTCAGTTCAGTGGTTAGTGGGTGACAGTGGATTTATTTTGATTGACTCATTTTGATATACGATGAGTAAAATTTCTTTCATATCTGCCGTCATTGAGATCGCATGCGTTTCAATTTGCTCTCGCTTTTTCATTAAATACCATGGTTATATACTTAGTTTACAACCCCCCAAAAAACTTTGCTTTCAAACTACTGAACTATTTCTTAAAAAAAAAAAAAGCTGATTGAGGCCGTCTCTTTTATTTTACAACAAATTCCGAAAAAAGAACAAGACCTGTATGTGTATAAGGGAGGGGTGGAGTGGTGGTGGTGGTG